AATTACCAAAAATAACAGATAAAATATAAAGTTTTTCTTAAAAAATGTTTGATAACTATCTTGACATTATAAAGATTTCACATGTGATATTTCAAAATTTTCTGATGCATAAAAGTATTTTTAGTCTTAAAATGAATATTACTTTGCATGACAGATAGGCAATATGTGAAAAGAAAAAAGAAATGAGAAAAACATTGCTTTACAAACCTTATTTTGCATACGAAAGCATTGTAATGTTTATTGATAATCTGCCAAATTTCATTAACATATGCTTACTAATTTAAAAGTTATAGCATGAAAACTATAACAAGCACGAAATGGTTACAAGTGTCCCAGTGTCCGAGCCTATGCTGAAAGAGTTAAATAGATATAATTTAACATGAAAACATTTTCAGAAATGAAAATAACATGTAAAGAAGGTGGTAAAAAAGTTCCCATACTTATGGTTTGTATCTAATTCTTCTAAACTTATTCCCATCATAGATTATTTTGTTCATGTCTGTAAAAGATCCAACTAGTAAATATCAGAAGAAACTATAAATTACTGTTTAACCCTGTGTGCACAGGTGGAGTCAAAATGTGCATGTGATGAATGTTTTTAGTTACCTATAAAATTTCTTAATTAAAAAGAAAATATAAAAAGAAATTTCTCAGTACTCACTCTTGTATATCATATGATACGTTTGAGCTGTTACTTCTATTGTACAATGTCAGCAGTGCTTAACCAATTAAAAACTCAAACTTCACATATTGACAAGTTAGAATATAAAATAAGAACCTCCCAACTTCTTGATTTGCTGAGGTATCAATATATTTAGCAAACCTGACAGAGAAGCCCCTCCCATTCCTTTATTTTTTTTAATCCACTTTTCTACTCTTACCTACCTTGTTAAAGTATAAGTGTGGCTGTATTTTGAGTATTTACAATTATAAACAAAAAAACAAAATTAAGTGAACTATACTAATTGCTGGTAAATTTTTTTTAAGGAATAATTTTGTGTGTATGTGGTTATTTTGTCAAAAATTAACTACAAACGTTTACTAATAGGCCAAAAAGTGATGATAGTGATGATAATTTCTGGACAACTAAATTGAAGATGAAAATAATATTTAACACGTGGTAGATGTTTTAACACAGTGGCTGAAAGACAGTTGTTGTTACATTTAATACTCTAACTACTGTCAGTTGAAAACAGAAAAGAAACAAAATAATATTTGCATTTGATATATGAATTCTGATACATATTGTATATTTGTTCAGGTTTATTAGTTCTGTTGGTATGAACATTTTACACTTAAAAAGTTCTTTACTTGGCAGCATGAAAGTTTAGAAATTGGATATATTTTATTCCATTTTTTTAGGGATACTTGTGCTGGTATGGAATATTTGGAATCTAAGCATGTAGTACATAGAGACTTGGCTGCAAGAAATGTTCTTATCTCAGAGGAAGGAGTTTCTAAGGTATAGCCCAGTTTTGTAGTAAAGTAAAAAAAAAAAAACATTCTTGCAAAGTACAAAGGTATCTGTTGTGAAAAAACAAAGTATGAATATTTAGTATTTCTCTATATAATATGTTTATTATGAGAAAAACTTTGAATTTTTGATATGCTTTGTGTGAACTAATATGAGGAACACTGAAGGTAATATCTTCAATTTATAATACTGTATTACAGTTTTGAAAATAACTATGGAAACTAATGCAAACAAGACCTAATACAGAGGCCTTGTTGGTTAAATGAAACTTGATATGGTCGAGTACAGAATAATTTAATTAAGCCTATCTCATCTTATTCCCATAAAAACATTATTTTCCTATCATACTTCAACTTCATAATTCAAGCTCTTTTGCAAGCTGAAAAAATTTAGGACTGTAATTATAGTGATTGTTGACAAGCATATTTTTCATCTAACATCATATCACAACACTAAGTTTTTAATCACTTTTCTGAACTGACTTATCAGCTTTTACAGTTGTAAAAATGTTTTCATGGCATATTTAGATCAGTTGAAATTTACCTGGAAAAGCTGTAGCTTTTTGTTTTATATGTAATAGTGATAGGAACATTCAACTGATAAAATGATGAGTAGGTTTTTTTATGTATTGATATTGTATATAATAAAGTTGCAGTTATTCACATGTTTTGTTTGAAAAGAGAATAGCCATATTCATTAGTTAAACCCTTATAGCTTGATCCTGTTTACTTTGTGTATTATAACCAATATTTTTTTAGTTTTATCTAATACTGTGAAACCCGTTTTCATTAAACTGCTAGAGAAGTTAGCAGTTATGTTATTGTGTTAATAAAGTCAGCTGATAGTACCAAACTGAAAGTATATTTTTTTCATGTGTTTACCAACTTGAACTTTCTTATTTAGAATGCTTCTACAGAGCTTAACAAGTACTAAGTATTTGGTTTAATGAATGCTTTGGTAAAAGTAGTGGTAACTAAAGGATTTACTGGCTGTATTGATTGTTTTAAAATTGTTCTCTGGAGGTGGTAACTAAAGGATTTACTGGCTGTATTGATTGTTTTAAAATTATTCTCTGGAGGTGGTAACTAAAGGATTTACTGGATGTATTGATTGTTTTAAAATTATTCTCTGGAGGTGGTAACTAAAGGATTTACTGGCCGTATTGATTGTTTTAAAATTATTCTCTGGAGGTGGTAACTAAAGGATTTACTGGCTGTATTGATTGTTTTAAAATTATTCTCTGGAGGAGGTGAACTGATACAATTTAAAGTTTTTGTTGTTATTATATGGTTCATCTTACAACCTTTTGCGTTATAGGTTTCTGATTTTGGTCTTGCTAGAGAGGAAACTTTTAACTTAGAAGGTGGAAAATTCCCGATTAAATGGACTGCACCTGAAGCTCTTAAACACAGTGTAAGCAATGTTATATTTTATAAAAATCCCAATTTATATCTGCTGACAATTATACATTATAATTCAATGATATGATGCATTATTTTATTACAAGTTACAGCTTTTACAGTAGGGAAGAATATTTTAAAAAACTGGTATGATGTTTTGATCATTGGTGTGATCAAAATGTTGTACGTGTTTTATAAATATTCTTCCTTACTGTAAAAGCTGTAACTTGTAATAAAATTATACTAATAATCAATAAGTAAACTCAGAACGAAGATATTATGTATTGATTGATTTTAGTTAGTTTCAGGGATGTGATGTTTAATCTAAGAACAATGAAATAAAAAATGTAATTTTTTCTTTGTTTAGATATGAAATTTGCTGGATATTTGATAGACTTTTGTATATAATTTTTTAAGAGTATAACACTTATAGACATTGTTTTTTCTTGGAGAAAGTATATATTATTTATATTAGTTTGTGCTACATCAAATTTTATTTATATATATATGTTTTAGAAATTCTCCAACAAGTCGGATATGTGGAGTTTTGGAATTCTTTTGTGGGAAATTTATTCTTTTGGTAGAGTGCCTTACCCACGAATTGTAA